CTTGGATTCTGACCCTAGAAATATTTAAGTAAATTTTTGAACTTATGAACTATGTACTAGTATGCTAATTGCTTTATATAATGCAAAGTGTACACATACACCTACTTGCTAGAGAGAGAAAGTTCAGTAGATCGACGAAAAAAATTTGAGTTTGCATGTAATATTATTTTATTAAAAAATGTGTGGTTGAAAAAAAAAATAGGTAAGGGGCCAACTGGTCCCCTATGATAGGTCGGGAGGAGACTTCATTTCCAGGCCTCATCTGAGACCCTGGTAATGTAGCAATATTCATTAGATTCAGATTCAACGAGGCACATTGATAAAAAAAAACTTGTGTGGGTATAATACAAGGGGCCAACTGGTCCCTTGTGATAGATTGGGAGGAGACTTCATTACCGAGGGGCCTTAGCACGATTCATTAGATACAGACTCAACGAGGCACACTGATCCTATTTGTATGATTTGCCGGGGTTTATGAAATTTTCTATGGGTTTGAGTTATTGTAAAAATTAAGACACAGATTCCCATCATGGTATAAAGAAGACGCTTCAAATATTTACACGTTCAAATATTTTAGTTCATCTAGTTTTGAAAGAAGAATTTTATCGTACTCAAACCCTGTTTGGCCCCCATTATGTGGCAATTATAATTTTTGAAATAGTATTTTTTGAAGAATATATGGTTGAAAAAGAAGAAATTTTTTTTCGATTTACATGTAATATTATTTTATAAAAAATTGGATGGTTGAAAACAAGAGGTCGTTCTTTTTGGCCGTTTTGGGTCGTTTTCTATTTTCGATTTTTCAAGCTCTTTGTCATTTTCGAAAACAGATTTTGGAAAGCCGTTTTGCGTTTTCTTCACAAACATATCAGAAAATGGAAAACACGGGAAACAATCGTTTTGTCTCCTCCCTCCTTTCTGCCAAGCCACCTCCAACGCTACCTTCCAAACCTCTAAACTCCAGCCAACCTCCTCCAAAACGGCCAGATTTATATACCATTGTGAAACCCTCAATCCCCTCTTCAATCACGACACAAACAACAATCCAATCATGTACCAAAATCGATCAAAAATATCCTCACAAACTGCTTCTGCCGGAATCAAAAAATTGGCCCCAATCGAGTCTTCAGTAGGCACATGGGACGATGTGTTACATGTCAATTACACAAATTAATTCAGAAAATGCTCCAATTTTCATTCCAACGCGACCTTCCCCTCACATCCATTTCCCAATCGTCCCCTTCCCCTCACCTCCACACACGTCGCGGCCTAAGCCGAAGGAATCTACACCGGTCAGTTCATTCACCGTGTGAAGAAGGCCAAGCTTGTGGTCTGAAAAGGAGATAGAGAGATGGGAGGAAGAGAGACGAACGGGAGGAAGAGCTAGGGATGGAGAGAGAGAGAGAGAAGGACGGGAACACTGTGTGAAGTAGGGCAAGCTTGTGGTCTGAAAAGGAGATAGAGAGATGGGAGGAAGAGAGACGGACGGGAGGAAGAGCTAGGGATGGAGAGAGAGAGAGAGAGAGAGAGAGAGAGAGAGAAGGACGGGAAATGTGTTTGGATGAGAACACGTTTTCAATTTTGAGTTTTTCAAAATGGCAAAAAGAACACATTTTCAACAATTTCAAAATGAACACTCAAAACACAAAATGAATTCAAAACTCAAAACACAAAACTGAAACACAAAGAGAACAGCTTCTAATTTTTTAGGATATCGAGGGCCAAACTAACTTCTAATTATATTAACTATTATTTTATTATATCGAGTTCAAGTTCTTACTGAAATTTTGACTTAATGAAGGATTCATCACATGGGTTTTGTTATGTATAACACATCGACGTACAATCTCCCTTACAATAAGACAGGTCCACGATTTTTTAATTGGGCGTGAGTTGTTGGACACGACCTAGTTAATATTGTAAACATAAATAAAAAATTTATAGACATAACAAAATTCACGATTTGTCACGTTTAATGTCATATTTGCTGTTTCACTGGGTATGGCCGACCCAATTGGATAAATTGCGAACGTAAAATTAAGAGTTTAAGAACTTAAGAAAAATAATAATGTTTCTCAAAATATATTTAATAATTTTATTTTCATAATATCTTGCTTTCAAATTAAAATATCATCGATATAAGTTATATTATATAAAGAAACAAACTCTATATAGGTTAAAAATAATTAATTGATTATACTTTTTTTTTTCTTTTTATGTTTATTTTTAGAGTCACTCTTCTCCACTCAATAAAGTAAGGAAATGTATTAAATAAATTCCTAAAAGAAAATAATTTCCTCAAAATGGTGGAAATATCAAAATTGATTGATTGTGACCTTCCCTTGTGAAATGGAAATCATAATTAATTTCATTGTAAGAAAACAAATTGGATTTTTGTCCTCACAATTTTGAAAGCGAAATTTTAAATATCCATTTAGTTAAGTATGTATGCCATAAAAGAGTGGTGCATGTTATTCACCTAACTCTTATTTGGATTATATAAAAATCAATTTTTTAGTAATTTCGATAAAAATCGATAGAATGTATGGTTGAAAAATTGTGAATCACATGTAAAATATAGTTAAAATTAACTGTTAACTCTGATTTAAATTTAAATTTAATTTTTCAGTTGAACCAAACGAGGATTATTGTACGTGTTCGAGTAATATTATATACTTATTTTTAGTTATTTGTCAATGAGAATAAAATCAATACCTTCCCCACATAAAGCCTAAGAATGGGCGCTTCCAAGACGGTCCTCAAACTTCTCTCTAAATTTATTAATCCCAAGTTGACATCGTTGTTCTTGAAGTCTACGCCTAACATTAGATACATTTTTGCACTAATTATTGTTTACATGATTTTTAATCACTTGCTAAAATAGTTGTTTGTGATATGATTTAATGTAGTATCAGAGCAGATGAAAACACTTCATTTCGTCGTTGTCTATCATCCTAATTTTATGTGTATATAACACATAATTATAAGAATTACGCTATTTATCATCATGATGATGGAATATCGATGATGTGACAATAAATTATCTCTTCACATTTTTCTCTTTTTTCATGAAAATTGAATTGTTCAATCTTATTATTTCACACAGACTGTCACATCATTGATTTTCATCGTTATAATGATAAATAATATTATTCTGATTATAAATCGACACCTTTCTAGAGCAAGGGACGAGTTATATATATTATTAAAAAGTTAAAATCTAGCCTATTATCTGATCATAATTTGTCTGAAGATTTCGAGGGTTTTAATGACAGCTCAACGTGGAATATTGTCGAAAGAGGGATTCTAAAAATAATGGGCCTAATATGGGGCCATCTAGAACTTTCTTTTCAAGGCTTGGCCCACTTGGAAAGCTGTAATGAAAGTTGCTTATATAACAAGTTGGTATAGTTTGCCTTCCTAAATGTCAAGGTTGATGGCAGCCTGCAATAATAGAAAGAAATAGGATGCATTTACCTAACATGGAATAATTATCAAGGATGGAAGCGTAAGCAGCCAAATCAATGATGGATTAGTTGAAGTGATTGGTGGTCAAAGCTTGTTGGTCAATATAGGTTTTTGTGGGAGTTTGTAAAAATTGATAGCCCAATTGTTTTTCCAAAAAAAAAAAAAAGATTTTGTGAAAAGTTACTTTTGTGAGGATATATAGTTACTTTAAATATGCGTGCGTGTGTCTCCATTGGTGACGTAAATTCATATCTCGAAAATCACTTATGCATCCTCATTTACATTTCAATTGATTTACATTCAAATTTTATTCCATTTAAAAAATCTATATTTACTTTTTGCCTCTTATATATGTAAAACAAGATGTAAACTTACATCTATTTTTGTACTTTCTGTTGAAAAATACAATTTGTATTTCCTTTGCATCTCTCAATTGGAGAGATTTTCAATCACTTTAGAAATCTAAATCGCAATTTATATATATTTTACACAACGATTAGAGACGCTTTTAGTAGCTGAAATTTAAAAATAAGCTACAATTAGTAATGTCAACAAGCTAAATCGAGCTAACATGCAAATCGAAACTCGAAGCCCAGGCTCGGATTGAGTAAAAATGATTTGTACTTTTTTGGCTCGATTTGAGCTTTCAGCTCGAACGGAGCCAAGTCGGCTCACGATTTATTTTATTGACTCACGTTTTATTTTATTTTATTTTTATTAACAGACAACTAGCTGCATGTATACTTGTAGCAGACAGCTACAAGCTCCCTGCAACAAGCAGCAGTAGCTACCTACCTACCTGTAGACGTTGCCTGCCTGTTAACACAGGTAGCACACATTGCTTTGTGGCAACGAATAAATCCTCATGTACAGAAATGAGGTTTACAAGGGTTTTATAAACCCTCTCATAGTGTGGGCCCCACTGTAATTAAAAAAATAAAAAAAATTATCCACCCACCCCATGTGTGAGTGTATGTAAACCAAATCACCCCCTCCCCCTCCGTACATGTAGCACTGCTCTATGGCAACATGCAGCTACTGTTGGCAGCTACACTTAGCTTTTAATTTTTATTTTTTAATATAACAAGCAGTGAGCCACACAGGTTGGCTTGGGCTCGAGGCCGACGCCCCAAAATGGGGCTCAACTAGGAAGAATCGAGCCAAATTGACACCCCTATTGTGGCCCAAGTCGGTGAGCCAAATTGACACCGCTAACTATAATACATCGAAATGGGAAATCAAAGAGAAAAAATAACAGCAACCAGAACTTTCATTTATAACTTATCCCCGAGAGTGACATATATGTAAGATACAAATACTAAAAATTGGCCACAAACCACTAAACACTTAGATTTTAAGTGCGTTATAGGATATTGATTTTCAAGCATTAATACACAATTTTTCATTCTCCTACATCTAATTTGATTTCAACTATGATACATTTTGGCTGCCATTATTGACATATCAAGATAGCATCTTCGTTTACCAGTTATTTGTCTATAGGGAAAGCAGCATCACTTGCAGCACAATATCTAGAGAAACTCCCAGTCGGATTCGCAAAAATCTTGTGACGGTAATTTCTTTTTCTCAAAGTCCGGGGTACGATCAGGAATCACGATATCTGTACTTCCCGTTCCGCCTAAATGTCTGGACTGAGGAATGCACTGGGCATACTCTTGTTTCTTTCTTGATCTCAATTTTGATGAAAAAGCTTCACTGATCTTTTTCTGAGAGAAACTACTCACTCAGAAACAATATAGACAGACACACACATACATACATACATACATACATACATACATACATACATACTGATATATAAGTATATATGGACAGAGAGAGAGAGAGAGAGAGAGAGAGGACCTTGTATGATTTATGTTTGCGTATGCCTTGTGGAACAACACGAATCTCATTCCCTTCCACTAAAATGCAAGACTCCTCCAACTTTGTCTTGGTAACTTGCTTGATGGTATCCACTCCTGGCTCAACAAGTACGGCATTCTCAACCTCCACATCAATGTTATCTGAATGTAGTATAGCGGTTACATCAACAAAGGAATGTAAGAAAAAATGTAATCTTAGTAAGAATCAGGCTGAAAGAATGAAGAAGTTGAGATCCTACTGTCACCAGATTGTGAACGCGGGTGCATCCTAGCCCTTTTGGGGTTTTTTCTCTGTGTCAATGCACGTTTGTGTGTGAGAGAGAAAAAGGAGGGCGAGAATGAAAGCATGATAATGGGCTCTGCATATTTGAGAAACACGTGATATTACTTTTGAACACCGTGCCAAAGGCGAAATCGAGAATTACGACTCATTAACATTATTTTTATGCTGTTATATGTCAAATGCAAGTATAGAAACCTATAATTTATAGCATTAGTAAAATGGGTTTCCATTTCTACTCCATTTGAGGAAAGGATCAATATTTACACTATGAAGGAATTTCTGTTCCTTCAATATTTGAGTTCGAAAAAGTTCCATATTAGACTCGTTAATATTTTTCAAAATTCTTCATGCATCCATAGTAACTTTACTACATTCTCCAAGCGGAATCAAGGATCAATATTTACACTATGAAGGAATTTCTGTTCCTTCAATATTTGAGTTCGAAAAAGTTCCATATTAGACTCGTTAATATTTTTCAAAATTCTTCATGCATCCATAGTAACTTTACTACATTCTCCAAGCGGAATCAAGGAATTACAATTCATTACGGTGTTGTTCACATGTAAACACAAGGAACCTAAAATTTCTAACATTTGGCATACTGGTTTTCATTTTCTACTCCATTTGAGGAAGGAAACGATGTTGACACTATAAAAGAAATTGCTTTCCTTCAGCAATTTACTACGAAAAAGTTCCATATTGAACTCATTCAAATTGTATGTAATTCGTAATGCATTCATTGTTTTGCTACATGGGTTAACTGATTAGAGCAACGCGAAATAACCTAGAAGTTTATTAACAGCAGAAGTCACTCGTAGCTTTATTTTATCAAAAAGACAACAAAGAGATCTTTTATATTATATCCATGTATAAAATAGAGAAAATCACATACCTTCATCAGACAATGTAACCTCCTCGCCACCAGATTCAGCACTACATGTATGACTCTGAATATTTGAACATAATTGAAGCCCTCTACCACCATTCTTGGATGTACCTATCGAAGGGCAAATGTTCATAACGTAAATAGAGAAAGTAAGAAGAATTCACATTAAAACTCATCTGTGAATAAATACCAATAGATTCTGAGGGCAAGTCATGACAAGATGAGATACACTGAGCATCTTCATCCTTTTGCCTCACAGGATCAACTGATAGGATTGTGTTCGAAGTTGCAGATTCAGTTGCAAAGATCTGTGTACTCATATTCACTGTTTCTCCAGAATCACATCTTTCATGTGAGACTAACTCTGTACTTGCTCCCACATCACTTAATGTGTTCTTATCAGCTGATACAGGAGTCATTGGTTCAGATATCTTTGGCAGATAATTTTTCTCAGAAATTCTTTTGATGCCAATAGGACGACGTTTGTAGATGCCCACTTTTTTGCCTTTAGCTGAAAAGACCTCAGAGCATGCATTTTGGACAGGAAATCCAGAAGATAGTGGAGAGAGATGGTTTACACCTTCAAGTCCACTTATCAGAGATATTTTCCACTTGTCCATGGCATCAATAACTTTATCCTCAGTTGCTTTATTCTTAACCTCTCCCCAATTCTCTGATAAGCACGGTTTTAGCTTCTTATTGATATCAGTATGAGAATGAGGATACATAGACAAGTCATCTGCAGCTACTTTCACACATGATGAAGGAATCATATCTTGCATGACTTCTGAACAGAACTTCTTAACACTGACGCCGGCTTTTTGCACCTGGTTTTCCATATATTTAACAGTATCCTGTACAAGAGTATTTAACAATGTTGTAGTGTGAGTGAAATTGATGAACTGCATTATTGACTGTAATGTATCAATAGAAAACTTTTAAAAATAAAATCAGAGATACCCATTGCAGCAGTTTTGATTTAGTTATGTATATATTTTTTTAGTTATATAAGAAATGATGGGTTTTCACCAATTTTATAAGAACCAGCCTGGGCATTGACTCGGAAAATGTAAAGGGTCAACAGCAAAAGTTTCAAGCCGATGGTTAAAATGATTAAATAAAAAAAAATTGGCGTGACCAGACAGTTTTGGGACCGACCCAGCTGGTTCTTAGGTTATTTTAGCATTTTATAAGTTTTTGGGGTTTGGCCAATAACTGGAATGGTATCTGCAATGGTTCCTGGTTTTAAACCCAGCAGTCCAAATTTTATTAGACAAGTGACAAAAAATTAAAAACTAAAATAAAAAATCTTAGATGTAATTGTTTTATACAAAACCAAAATTCAACTCATTCTAGGTGAAATTCAGAATTTGATTACATATAGAGATGACAAAAAAGCTCGCCGGCTCGGGCTCGGCTCGGAAAAGCTCGAGCCGGGCCCAGATTGGGCTCGGTTATACCGAGCCTCATTTTTTTGGTTGGGCTTTGCTCCGCTCGGGGCCAAAAAAGCTCGAGCCAAGCCCGAACTTTTTTAATTAATTTATATTACGTATAAACCGTACAAATTTTAAATTTTTTAAGTAAAAATGTAGATTTGACATTTAAAAAAAAAACCGAACGTCCTCTAAGGCTCAGGCCAAGCCTCATTTTTTTTGGCCGAGCAAACTCGGACCCAAAAAAGCTCGAGCCAAGCCCGAGCTTTTTTTTTTTGGGCTCGAGCTCGGCTCGTTGATATAGCTAATTACATAAGATATAAATCCATTTATAAATACCTTCCTTCGGAATTAACTACCAGTTTGAAGCTAACTAAAAGAATTAAACAATTTTTTTAGAACTAAATAACGAATTATAGAAAATATAAAAAATAAAATTATCTTTTGGAAACAAATTCATATGCAAAATTAATAGTTCCCATTTAAATTATCATGAGGATAATGTAAGTCGGTTGACACTTGACGGACAAGCTTCAAGGGCGATGACTCCTTAAGGGAAGAAAGAAGGGCAAGACTACAATATTAACAGTGTACCTACAGTAGCAAAAGGGAACTGTGATACTGTCAATGCAAAGGCAAGTCTTGTACAGCTAATACCATGTTGTGAACTTTGCTAGTGCATAAGCAAAATTTCATCAAATGCTTGTGCTTATAATAGAAGGAAAACAAAGATCTAGGAAGCACGGATATGGATAGGGACACTGGACACGAACGTGACACAACACAGATAGGCTGACATATGACGTCTCAAGAAAATAGGGCTTGGGCATGTCCTATCTTAAAAGGATGAAAATATACTTCACTACATTTGTGCTGAGGGTCTCCATGTGCAATGTGCCAACAACTTATCTTGGCTCTTTAAACACAGTACAATATCTCCAAAAAAAGAGCAAACAGTGAAAGGAGAGATAGAAGCTAAGTAGGGGCCCAGCAAAGGCATGTTAGTTACGAAACAAGGGCTTCTGGTCACTTGTTCCTCGCTTCTTCCAATTTCATAGTCGAACTTAAAAATCAAGAGTTCATTTCATTAATAGTTGCATGAAATTCAATTCAAGAATGGAAAGTTCGAAACAATTGAGTGTAAGACGCCTTTTTCTATTGAACCGTCAATAGGGAGCCTTAGGCTCTGGATCAGGAGAGGATTGCCTACAGAGTAAAGCTAAAAAAATGGGAAGAGGGATCTTTACCTGGACCATAACCTCTTCCACCTCCAAACACATAGCTTCAAACTTTTGGTATATATTTCCAGCCCAGGTTATACCTTTAAAATCCATAGAAAGAAAGTTCAACACGTAGCTCTACTCTGTCCAAGTTCCACGATGAAGTTATTATTCCACTACAAAATCCATATGGAAATGAGAATTGCAAAAAATAAGTTATCACGTGTACAATAAGAATTTCCAGCATAGTTGACGTGATTTCCTTGCAGAAAAAGAGGCCTCTAATAATGAAAAAGGCCATCATGTGATGAAATAGTACACAAGCAATTCAAAGTAACTAATTGATAAATTATTCAACCAACTCCTGAGAAAGACGCATCTTTGAACTTTGCATAATTACTCCGCCATATGTTAGGTGTTCTAGAATGAGTCTTGGTAGGTGAGGACATGTCTTTGAACTTTTCACAAGTACACCAATATAATTTAAGTGTTCTTAATGATAGTGAAATATATGAGAGTTCCTAAATCCTCATAATCCACAAGGCTGCTCATTAAACAGCTAAAATTGCAGATTTTGCCGCATGAATTTTAATACAACATAATAACAAGAAAGTATATCAAGATCTTGACATCCTTCCAGCCAACATAACAGAGAAACAGTGCTCACAGTTCATGAAAATTATAGGATAATAGTGTATCAACTAGAAGAGTACTAAAAGCATGAATGCAAAATTCATTAGCAGGTTGAACTATCCAGTTGTTGATGTAAAAAATGCACATTCACACAATATGAATCTAAATCTTTGAGCAAGTTTGCTCCTAGTAGTTAATACACAAGAATGTATACATGTTTCTATATGTTATTAAATGAATTCACTTATTTTTCACTATGTCCTACTCGACTTTTAAATCTCGAGTGCATTATTTACAGGATAGGTGACAACTATGTGCTCTTTTTATTTCATTTTCTAATAACACATACAGAAGCATCCTCTCTCAATTAATGCTACAAATTGATTTTAGGCAACAAGAGAACAGCTTCAGATTTAATTAGGTTCAAAGTAGCAGGCCTTGTAGCCAAAAGGACAATGCATAATATCGTGTAACTCCCACTAATATGCCCAAAGTTCCGGAATCAATTCATGGTACAGTATAGTTAGGCAACATGAGCTAGAATTGTCTGGGAAAACAAAAGAAACTGCAGCATCAACCTCTAGCAATATATCTTCTAATAATGTTAAGAAAAGGATTTTCCTATTATTAACTCCATTAGACATGCCAACTCAAGAAAACAATTTGCAACTCTGGAAACTATAGGAATTTATTTTTCCCAAACAGTCAAGGATAATAAAGAAATCAGAGCAATAACTGAAACTCAGTACCAAACAATTAACAATACCAAACAATTAATTGGAATAATTATGTATCACATCATAGACCCACACCCAGACTCTACCTTCCTCATCAGAAAACCAGATAAGACAAATACTTAACAAACAGGAACAAATAATCAACGCATATTTCACTTTTTCTTTTATAATCGAACAAAACAAAATAACTCGCAGAACCGCCAAAATCTGCTAGCACTTTTTTGCCATTTGTTACCTCAGCAGAACTAAGGCATGAACAACGTTACACAGAATACCTTTGGAGAGAGTTCCTTTTATACCATGTAACTTCGGAGTATAAACTCAGAATTCTATTTATGTTAAAGATTGATATAAATACTCCACAGATAGAACTTTGCACCAAAAAGACAACTTTGTAAGAAATCTTTTCATGTATTTGGGATAATTCCTTGATACTTCTATTGTTAATCAATGGAAAGATTCGTGAAAGATATCAAAAGTCATCTGAAGGTTCCCTACGATCGAAGATTCCACAACACCTCTTTTCCTTTCACCTAAATTATACTTATACCCAATTTCCAGCAAAAGTATTCCAAACCCATAAGTCAATCTCAAAATCAAAACAAATAAACTCAAAATCTTTACCCAAACTCATTTTTTTCCGACAAAACAATTAACTATACTGCCTAAACAAGAAACCACATCCACACAACTGATAATTATTTTAGCAGAAAAACCACACTATGTTTGAGCATCGATTTTCCATCAGAGATGAGCAAAAATATATGATCAGTAACAGGATCAAAGCAAGAAAAACAATCAAGAGACTTGAAAAAATTACTCGCATCAAAACAGAATTCATCAGAGAACAATGATAAATAATTTGTAAAAGTGTAAAAGGAATAAACAAAGGCACATACAGAGAAAACAAATGGCCCCCAGAAGCAGAAATCTTTGATAAATTATAATAATTTGTTATAAACCAGCAGCGTTATAACAGAGAAATTCTGCGGAGGTGTTTTAGTTTTGGACATGGGTTCTTGACACGTGTACTAGAGTACGCTTTGACTCTAAGATAAAATCGTATTGGTAGGTTAACTTGACCAAGTTATACCATTTCTATACGTTAGATTTTTTAATATTTTAAAAATTAATTATCGAAACTATTTCATGCATTGTTAAATTTAAACTAAGAAAAGAGTAATTCAAAATATCAATAATTTGTTAAAGTTTATTTTGAGATCTCGAGACACGGAGATTTTTATTTGACCTATTGAAATAAGTAGAGAAGAATTAATTAATTGATCCTCATCCACTCTAATCTTGTTACCAAAGAATAAAATATACAATACTTTCATAACAACAATTTAAGAAACTATTAATACCAAAATGTTAAAAATTAGGTTCTTCAATTTAAATCCGCGTTTTCTCATCATACGAGATTATGGGAAATGATGAACTCTTTGAGAAGGTGAGAGTTCTTAATCAAGATTTTCTAATATTCTTGAGGTGTCTAAGAGCATTCCTCGCAATAAATAATCTTATTTGAAATTTCTAATAAAGTTTATGTGAAATAAGGTTGACTTGCAAAGGAACGAGATGGATTTAAGTAGGCAATAACTCGAAGTTGAGGTTCAAAGTTATTGGCCCTGCAAATTAGTCTTGCATCATGGCCAAACCTTGAACCTGGATGATGTCCTCTATGCACCCAATATTCGACGGAACTCGGTCCCCCTAAGCCGGAGGTTTATACGCCTCCGTGTTGAACACGTGCCCTTGAACTTTGTACAATATGAAAACTTTCATTCACCGGAAACTCACATTGCATCAAACTATTCTTCACCGGCATTTCTGTCTTGTTACAAAATTAACATTCTCTTGTCAATCCATACTTGCAATATGTAAGTTTGTACATGAAAAATTAGGACATGAAGAAATTTCTTGTTCCTATAATTGTCGGTTCGTGTTAATGATCTCCATGAGCATAATCAAGAGGATGACACATATCAGTAAGGCACAGTGGCAGTTACAGTTCTGTGTCTTGGATCTGTCATAACAGTCTGCACATTGACAAAACCAATTTCTCGCATGGTACCTTCAAGATCTGTAAGGTAGTATTCGTCCAGAAAAGGTTCAGTGCTCTTCATCAATGTAAATAACACCGGTGATAGTTCCTGTAATACATGAACATTAAGGAAAATAAGTCGTTAGTTAGTCTAGAACTGTAACAATTTCATATTCCCTTCATAAAAAGGTTGTTGATGTTCCCATGATTAGATATTTTCGGGTTTATGCAATCTATTCCAAAATTTCACCATCTTCCGACCATTGTTTTCTTTTGGTCCAAGAACAAAGAAAAGCGAGAAACAGACTTTTCATCACGAGTGATATTGGAAAGCCTGATCACATAATGACGAAAATGAAAAGAGAACTTAAAGTAACAAACAAAACATACCTGAAGAATCTTTGATTTTGGCTGCAAAGAGGGCAAAAGGAAAGTAATGTAAGAAATGGTCTGCTAGGATTACATTACGTAAAAAGAGGAACACTATTTGCAAAAGTCTGAAGCTATTTACCGAGTTATCGGTCACAGCAAAAGTGCCTCCAGGTCGAAGAAGCTGAAATGCTTCCTTCACTATATTTTTAATTGCTCTTTCAGGGCACTCGTGAAACTGCAACAGCGCAACAGAGTCAGGGAAAGGAGTACATGCTTTAAAAAGGTCTCCAAAAGCAGCCACGAATCAAGGTAAGAACGTTTTTCCATAAGATCTTATAGCCAACCACTAGCAATTAGACGTGGAGTTGGATAAAATTATGAATATAGCTCGTTGTCTGCCCTATTCTAGACGTCAACCCCTCGTGTTAACATATAAGGTTGACGGCTTGACGCCCCTCCTTTACCACTCAAGGAAAGCTAAGTACTATAACTACTCTTACCAGTTTTCTTGAACTCAATTTAAGTAATTTATCCACTTCTTTTGTTATAAGAAGGATTAAACCGTGTAAATGATAACATGCATGTAAAGTATTCTCTTTCCACGAGTCAATAATGGCAATATGGAAAGCTTGCCCTTATCCTGAGAGGGAAGTTTTCTTTCTTTTATTCTTCAGATGGAGTGCATATTCTGACCAGGGAGAAACTTTTAGTATAACTAAGGCATATTTTCTTACTGTACAAGATATTTGCCAGTTACAGAACAGCAATGGTAAAAGTCGAAACATGAATATCACAAGATGTATATTAATGTAAATCTTCCTTACGAGTGTATTAAGAATCTCTGCACTATACTCATTTCCTGATTTTATATTTGACAGTCAAGGAATAGCCATGTTAGCGCACAAGTAAAGATAAATTCTTGGACGGAAAGAAACCTAGATACGTTCTCATCCTGTAAGCTGAAGTCAACTCTATGCACTCTGAACAGCATGTTTTTGCCTATAGATTTAATGTCTTTTATTGATCCTGTTCAATTTAAGTTAAAACCGTGATACTTCAGTGCAAGCAAGAAATATGCTGGTAATTAGGTCAAGATCCTCAGAGTTTCCTATTACAACAAGTGTGAGAATGAGATTTTCAATGAATTGCCATAGGAAGAATTTTCTATCCAAAGTTATCATTGATTGGGCAAAAAAAACTATAAGCAGGATTATGTTTCAAAATAGAAAATTCAATCATCTCTAATTTCGTATCTTTTCTAGGTTCATATCCTTCCAATCCCATCAATATGATCACTCGACAAAAGAAAAATTGAACAATAATGTGTTTCATATAAAAAATAATAATACAATTTAAGGGGTTTGTATTAGTCATATCTGCATTGAGTTTCTCTAGAAAGCTAATTACAAATGTAATTTAGTTTTGAAGTTTTATGAAAACACAACATACCACATAAGCGACCGAGACAATGTCAAAAGATTTTGAAGGCAAGCTTGTGTTTTCACCATTTCCATGTATCCACCTGATTGAATCTTTTCTCTCGTTGCTTCTCCTCTCCTTAAATTGAGCAACAGCAAGAAAGTAAGGTGATAAATCCAGTCCCTGCAGAAGATGCAGACCAAATACCAATGGACATCACATAGAAATTTGGGTAAAGCACCAACAACGAAATCACGTCTGATATGAGAAGACTACAATTCATTGAGTTTGCCCATATCTTAAATCCTTATTGTTGCCAACACTACAATATCTACAGGAATCATGGCATGCTTGAAATAGTGGACACATAATTCATACTTACAGTAACTTTGGCAGATGGAAATTTGTCAGCAAGAAAGCTTGTGCTCACTCCAACAGAGCATCCAATATCAATAATGTCACTGATTGAGGAGTTTCCTGAATATTTCTGATGATGAATTTCAATAGCCTGAAGCCAATTTCCACGGACTATTTGATTTGCTTCATCAAGTGAAGAAGCATAAGGTATCGCTCGTCTCACCATTGACATAGTTGCAGGTTCTGCTTCTGCTGCAGCCTGTTGCAGATACATCATTTTAAAACAGAATAACTTCTTCAAAGTTATTTCTAAATTAAGTCTTGTTTATTTTCTTGGTTTTCGCCAGGAGATAATTACAAGAGGTCCAGCATTTTTTTTCCTAAAGAAAACCCTACATAACAACAAAAGTTGCTTTGTGACTCTGAAGTATTACAGAAGCACGATTAAAATATTAATATTCTTGACCCCAATCCCAATAGGCATCATCAATCAAAAAAGAGAAGAATAAGAGAAGCCGATGAATGATTTGAAATAGCCAAAGATTTATCAATTTAAAGCCAAGCTAATTAGAGTCCTACAAATTTCTTTAAAGCTTCCATAAGCAGAGATCAAAACTTATCTGAAAAGCATATCGACCCAGGAGCATATCAAAGCAAACAAATTAAGTTTACAGGAGAACAATCATTCACCAATTACCAGCCAAGAAAGGTTTCCCTCATCATATGCATGGAAAGGATTGAGATAATCTGCATAAATAAGTCAAGGCGCCATTAAAATCCTTCAAATTTTCAATAACAAAATCCAGGTAAAACATAAGATGATAGTATATGAGTGCCAATTATATTTAAGTTCAACTTGTAGATTCTGAGAGGATTCTCTTCAATGTTTTTTTCCATTTCTCCTCTCATTTTAGAACAGCTTAAATATGAGAAGGATATGAAATTGCATTTTCATGGTAAAAGAGCCAAATAAAAAAATGAGTTGTCAGGATGTTTTCTTCCAATATTTGAACTTCGAATGACGTAAGAGTTACGTCCTTGATGGCTCACTTCCATACAGAAATTCTCACTGCATATATATATTTCGAATAGATTTTACTATTTTAAATAGGTTGTGTCCCATTTGCCTTTGTATCATATAACTTTATATCATATAAAAATAATGAATTTATGACTATCTCTTCACTTGCAAATAGATAAGACTGATTGCTCTGAAATTCTCATAACTGCTTAAGCATCAATATGACTTGTTAGATAGAATAACCCTATGCTGCACACTGTTTAGTGGTTGTTGTAAAATTTTAACAAGGGATTATTTTAATCTCATAACAGCAAGTTAAAACGGACTGTTAAAGTGAAAAATTTTCAGTAAAATTAAAAGTGAGTCAACAATTTTCTTTCCCCATGCCAAATCAAGATTCTCTAAAATTTCTACACAAAGCACACAAAGAAACAATAAAAATAACCTTCGATATCATTAAATCTAAATCTCAAGAGACTTAATAAATCATTTCATAGCTTTTAAAGCACAAGAGACATGAGAAGATCTCAAGTTAAAAATTAGAATTTTCTGTTTAACAAAGAAGAATTATAACCCAATTCAGGTGATAAAATTCAGTTATCAATACATGAAAAGATAGAAGAAGTCCATTATGGCATTATTACTAAACTTGAATATGAACATGTGAATGAAATCTATTTACTTGAATCCAATAGAACTGTGAACAATCGAGTAAAGAAAAATCGAAAATTTGAAAAAAAAAAAAAAAATTACTATCAGGATACACAATTGAGCCGTCCTCAATGCTCTCCAGCTCCTTGTAGACATCCGATTCCAAATGTGGAATCAGATATTTAGTAGAACATTATTAAAATTATGCGTCTTAGCCTAAGAAAGCAGCTCGGGAAGAGCTACTAATTAAGTCTCTACCCCTAGCGTATGAAAACAGGCAAAATGATATAACTGTGAACACAGGAATAAAGAAAAATTTAAAGTTTGAGAAAATTACAATCAGGATACACAATTGAGCGGTCCTCAATGCTCTCCAGCTCCTTATAGACATCCGAATCCAAAACCTCCTTTGTCATTTCCCTCCACGGAATGTTGGTTTTCTCAGCTGTACTGTCCCAACCCAAATCCAAATTTCATTTTTTTATATCAAAATAAAATTAACACCTCAATAATTCAAACCCATAATCTTAAAAATCCAAGGAAGATAGAAAAAAACACATAAACGCTAGCCCAATGCAGTATAAATTGACCTGATGAGGACTTGTCTTGCACCGAGTTTGAGTACAGAATATAAAGGTTTGAAGGAAATGAGAGCTCCAACAAAGCGAGAAAGTGGGGTTTCACCGGTCCATTTGGGTCTTTCCAATTGTCCCTCCTCGAATGCCACTGCCACTTCTCCACTTCCACTATTACTTGACGCTGCCATTCGAATTCTTGCATTTCTTCTTCGAAATGCATTTTCATGGACAGTAGAGATAACGACTCGTGAATTCAAATTGTTGAGCTGCGAGAGCGCACTGAATGATGCCATTTTCGGATATCCGAAGGTTAGTTTTCCACGGTGGAGATGTGGTGGTTATGACTTTATTGAGAAGCGGCGGGAGGCTTCTTGGGCGGTTAACGGCTGTTAACAAATTAATTTATTTTGCAAAGGGCAAATTTCTTATCATATACAAATCATAGAAACCTATAATATATTGACACGTATGCAGCAGGTAGTACTTGATTAAAGTAGATTAAATGCATGGAGGATCCCTGAACTTTTAGAAAACTTGCATCGGGGTCAATAAACTTCAATTTGATGCAATCAAGTCACTAACTTTAGTTTTAAGTACAAATATAGTCACGTCCGTCCGTCAATTCTTCATTACAATGAAACTCATCGGGAGTCCTTTTTTCTTGGAACAGCCAGTAAAGAAACCATATTCTGGTCACTAAGAACCTCAATCTTAAGAAATTAGGACAAGAAATCTGTCCTATAAACTGTCTTCAAGATATGGTGAGCAATTCAATTGGCTTGGCAGGAAGGAGGTGACAAGGAGGGATAATACTATTTTTTGAAGAATGTAAATTGTGAAGCTAAATCAGGAGAGATTAAAGCAATTACTGGTCCAAGTGGGGCTGGGAAAACCTCATTGTTGGAAGTTCTCGAGTCTCCGGTCATGTTCTTGTCACGAGTTGCCAATGGATGCAGCGTATTTCTGAAGAGTGTCGGATTGTGTGACACAAGATGAAGCTCTTTTTTCCCCCTTCTTACTGTTGAAGAAACACTTACATAAAGTACACGGCTTAGCCTGCACGGAGCACGTGAAAGGCCAAGATTCTAGTTGAAACGCTGTTGAAGGAGCTTGGATTGGATCACATTGCCGGAGTAAGAATAGTCAGTGAATCAAACAGAGGAATTTCGGGTGGCGAGAAGCTTAGAGTAGCAATTGGAGTGGGTTTAGTACATATCCTTGCAGTTCTTCTACTTGATGAACCTACATCAGGACTTGACTCTGCCTCAGCACTTCATGTGATGTTGCTGCTTAAATCCATGTCCAAGAACCAAGGTAAGACTATAGTACTAACCATCCATGATCCACCAACCCGAATTTTGAATTCTCGAGTTAATTGACAAAGTTATATTGTTTTCCGATGGTGTTTCCCTTCATAATGGTTCCTTAAGTCTCCTAGAGGAGTGGCTTCGGTCCGCAGGCCATTGTATTCCTGGACTTGTCAATGTGCTTGAATTTGCCATTGATGTAATAGAGAGCCTTCACAAAGTAGAAAATGATATTGGGAAATGTGAAATGGAACAAGAATATGATCATATCATAGAAAACTCCTTTTTTTTTTTTTGATAACTCGGGGATCTAAATTTCGCCGGACTAATCTTGAGGAGTGATGGTCTTCTCCTCTAGTTCGCCACCCAGGTTAATCCTGACGCGATCACAACTTATACATAATTGGACTGGACATTCGACGGTTCTCCTCCCTGTGGACCTCTGCCTTCCGACATAGATCATCTGCCTTCCGACATAGATGTTGCCTTCCAGTTGTGGCGGAGTTGTGGCGGGGATTCGAATTTTCGATGCTCCGTAGAGAACTCTTTTACTTTACCACTACGCCATACCCATGGGGGCTAGAAAACTCCATCTTTGATCATATGGAAGGAAGTCATATCTTATACTGCAATTCTCCAATTAGTACTGATCTTTAGCTAGGGATTCTTCACCAGCATTATCAGAACTAAACAACTTTTCGCAGCAAGGACCATTCATGCATTGCTAGCTGGAATTGTATTAGGGGCGATATTCATGAATGCTTTTAATAACTCCAAGAGATTGAAACTGCAAAATCAAATTGGTCTCTTTGCCTTCAGCCTGACCTTCCTGATGTCATCAACAACAGAAACACTACCAATTTTCTTGCAAGAAAGGAGAATTTTAATTAGAGAGAACCAGAGGAGCCTACAAAGTCTCTTCTTGCATTATAGCAAACACTCTAGTAGTCTTTCCTTGTCTACTTATAGTATCTGTTGACCCCAAAAAATATTGCCAACAGATGTCTGGCCCACTCATGCACACGCAAGATTGATCCAACATGCTAATGCAAATCAACGGTCAAGATGGCTCCATGAGAGGGGCGTGGGAGTGGCTAAAAGGCACGAGACGTTTCCGTTCAGGCTACCGGTAAGAAAATGTAATACGATTGTATAAGAAACCAATCGATAAAGGACGATTTTGTAGTTGAAATATGTTGTAAAAATCACCGTTAAAGCGAGAGAAAATAGTTGCTCCAAAATATTCAGTTTTCTCTTTAATTTTGCATTAGTCCCTTTTGTGTTACATGGTGGGGGTATTTATAGTGTTACAACTCAAATGGTGACCTTTGGATCA